AGACTGAGACCAGAAACTCATCAGGAAACTGTTTACTGAGCTCATAAAGGAAGTCAGGAGTCGGCTCATTTCTCAATAAGACTGCATGCCAGTGAAGCTCCCCCTGCTGGCCTTTACATAGAATGCAGGTTTTCTAAGACACTTCCGCATTGGCTTCACTTCACAGACCCAGAAGCTCTGTCCATTATATATACTGTCAATGGTCCTTACCCAAGCAGGCCTGGTTTTACTGAGGTATATGCCATAGCCTTCCTCTAAAATTGCTGGTGATAAAGTACCTGGTTACAGCAAGGACTAATAACTAACACTAGTTTGTTCTGGTTGTGTTATCAGGTTGTTTCCACGGCGTCTCGAACTGGCTGACTGGCTGTTGACCTTCAGAATGACTTCCAGACTTTTGCTTTATCCCAATCAAGGGTCTTGATATCTGAATCCATTAAGTTTTAGAATGACATCTTCTCAAAAGATTAGCTCACTTATCAGGCTGATCAGATGTGCCTTCCTCTGTGATTTACCCATCATACAGAGAGTTTAGTGTAGAGTGAGTCAGATCTTTGTTTCACAGGAGACCACACCACCTTCACACAGCGAATATTGAGGCCACAAACATGTGATCTGTTTTATGGAAGTACCAGGAGTAGCTCTTATGCTGGGATGTCACTTTTGAACCAATTTAAAGGGATTCCAGTAAATACTATATCCTAGGTATTTCTCTTACAGTTGCTGTTATTGGAGCATAGAGCAAAAAGGGGTGACATGACTTCCTATGTCATAATTGTGACTTGAATGAAGTTTTTATCTTTTTTACTTTTACTGGTGGAATTGGGCTTTTATACTTCTCAGATGATTAAATGTCATGATTTCTGTTCAGTTTCTGTCCTCCATTTTGGCGTTTCCAGGCTGATATCCTGGAGTCTGATTCCAGCATTACACATAATGACTAACTGGAGGGACTGATTCTATAATCAGTACAACCATTTTACTTAAATTCATGTTTTTAAATATTATCACGTCATTACACCTATCACATATGTCTACATATATACATACATGAGTTTGTCACAGCTGTTTGGAAATTTATTCTCGTATAACCAAGAAATCATGATAATATGACAAAAAGTAATATAATGATTTTGACATGGAGGGAGGGTTTCTTTGCTTTACTGTCCAGCATTGTGGGTTCTTTATGAAATTACTGGAAACTATCGACTGTGGTTTTTACATTCGCACTGCATCCAGAAATAAAAACGATGATGATGATGATGTTTTCTTATTTTCGCCACTAAATTCATTTATTAAAGGTCCAGTGTGTAGGATTTAGTGCCATCATTCATACCGCGCCTCACTTCACCCTACCCTTCCAAGAGTGAAGGAGTTGTGTTGCAACCATCAACATTAGTTGCCTTACTGACCACAGTTTGTTACTTTACTGTATTTTCAAGTTTCTAATTGTCTGTCCTGTTGTTGGAGAGCTGCAGCCGGCAGGCTTTTGTCAGCTCGTGTCAGTTCACACTCAGCTGTAGATTCCCTGCGAAAAGCAGTCGGCTGTGAGAGATGCTTTGTGACAATAAGGTTTAAGATGATGAGATAAAGCCCATCTGAACGCCACGTCAACAGGCTGATTATCTGTTGTCCTCTCTGATACGAGATGCTGTTGTACCGTTTCATCTTCTTTGTCTTATCATAAAGTTTGTTTAAGCATCAAAAAGTAAAAAATAAAAAATAGGAATGTGGGTAAAAGACACACGAGTTTGTTTGTTTTTTTAGCACTGTAAATCCTAACAACACATCTTAATGAAAGAAGTTAGCTAACATAACTTAATCCTCCCAAAAATTTGGTTACACATTCCCATGAATTAAATCCAACTCAGGAATAAATCGTTGAAGGAATAACTGAGAGAACTGAAATATGTGCAGTATTTTAAGTATTGATGATTTATTTCCAGTATCTCATTGGCCATGTTGCGGACTAAATTTCAGATTTCTTTCTTTCTGGAGAATTGTGATGCATGTTGAGTTGTTTTTTTAATGAAATTGCAGAAAGTGAAATAATTCATTAAAAACTCAAGGCAACTTGTTCCAGTGAGACAGGGATTGGTTGAATTTACGTTAACTCCTGTAGTGACAGTGATATCTTTGCCATGCATTTCTATTTCTGGATTATGTGACTCATGTATGATTTGGGCGACAGTAGAAAAAGTGAGCCCCCCTGAAAGCTGTGGCGTAGTTCACACACTGGGCACATCAACATGATGAAGCTGTTATTTTAACCAAAGTTACATAATGTTGCTCTAAGTTTGTTGCTTTGAGTAAGTAATGACTGAAGGAGTCTATCAACATTTTTATCTTCTACACAATAATGTTTTACTATAAAAATGAACACATTGTTATACATACGTTAGTAATCAGACAGCAGGCTGTGGAGTGACAAAGTGAGTATTTATATTATCTTCCCCTCACACACACACACACACACACACACGCACACACATCTTTAGTTACAGTTGGTGCTCAGTGTTGAGTAATAAATACAATAATAATAATATAAGCAATAGTTGTCTTCAAATATAGAGCGATACACTTTATACAAAATACCCTGCATATTACTGTCAAGTTGAATGAAAATGACACCAGAGGAGCAGTGTAATGATTACTCCGTTTTCACCTTGAACTCTGGGGGTTCAGACCGAAATCAGATCACAACGCCCAACTTGCTCGTTGTTTCTGAAGCTTTCCCCCACAGATCCTGGTCTTCCTCAGCGGATGAAGTTCTGGGTCAAGTTTGTGGTTGAAAGCTTCAGAAACATAAAGTAAGTGAACTTTTCCAAGGTGAAAGAAAAGAAATGATTGAAACCATCTGCAGTCAAACACACAGTTGTTAATTCAGACGTATTTTCACTTACTTCATTATCAAGTCTGCAAAAACTCTTGAACAATGACAGAAGTCCATTCATTTTGTAGTAGATTTAAAGTGATTCTCAGTTCTTAATTTATGCCGATTTTAATTTCTCAGAGTGGGAGGTGACGCCTTCACATGTCAACAAGAGATTTTTTAGTGTGAAAAAACAAACAAACAGAAAGTCCTCACCATGAAGAATCTGCAACCAGAGAAGCAAAGACACTCATTCTCTATAGTGTGTGTGTATATACAGAATATGTATTCTTTAAAATGCCCAGAGCATCCTTTGGGTGTTTGTTCCTGAAGTGTTTTGGTTGACAGACAGTTGAGGGAATATTTGGCTAAAAATCTGAACAACAAACCTGCAAACTGATGGATCAGACAGGAACTAGCTAGCTAACGATTCTAACATTAGATAACTTAAAATGTGACCATATATATGTCTCTTTTTATCTTCTTTCAAATGTGGTTGTCTTTTCAACATAGATTAGCCTAGCATATAGCATATCTAAGTACAGGAAAGGAGGAGGTTGACAGAGGCTAGGTTATTAGTCTACAAAGCAAAAAGGTGCAGGGCTTAGGAAGGGATGTTAATCTAATGACTAGAGATTCTCTGAATAGAAAGAGAGAAATAGAAATAGAAATATGCACGGTCAGGTCTACACAGAGTTGCCATGTTTGTGTAGCAAAAGATCTGCTTGTTTGTATCTCATAGTTATGACATAATTTTCTCATAACAATAAAGAAACAATCTCATATTTTTAGGATCTTTGTCTCATAATTAAGAGAAAACAAGCATAACAACCTAACCATAAGAAGATATGATCCCTGTAATTGTGAAGATTGTATCTCATAAAACTATATCCTAATTCTGACATCCTTAACATATAAAAAGTTTTCTTGTAATTATGAGAAATTGATCACATTAATATGGAACCTTTGCACTTTTTACAATCATGAAATAATTGTTCTTCTCTGGTGAAATCAGATTAATTGTGTAATTGTTAAATTCTTCGCCCGCCCAACAGTTTGCAGGTTGTCACACAGATGTGATTGTATACAAACAGTCTTAAATAATGAGTGCAAAGGCATGCAGCACCTTCACCTCAACCAGTGCAATGTCATCAACAGCTGGAAAGTAGACAAATCCAAAAGAAGTTAGAGTTGCAGGATATAAAACAGAGATTATAACTCTGAACAAACAAAAAGCACAACGTGGTCACTGTTAGTGTCCGTGCAGTGGGTGTCCATAAAATTCTTCACGTGGATGTGTGAGAGTTGTGACCTGAACCCATCCTGCTGCAGGACGGATGCAGGGTTGTGCACACCCCTAATGCAGAACGAATAGAATATGGTGGTGATGCATTCATGCTGTGCTGATGAAGACTGTGTCAAGTAAAGTTAAGTTTCTGGAGGATTAAATGTCCTGTATTCAGACAGAAAGTTCATGTTTGTTTGGTTCAAAGCTGAACTGAAAGTGACTACAGACCAAAGGCCTGATCCCAGCACCACGCCTGCAGGCTGGAAAACATGAGGTCATCACAGAGGAAACAGTTTTACACCACTTCCTAACATACAGAGAGCAGAAGACAGATCTCGGGCAGAGATAAAAACAAACATGCAACATTATCCAACTAAACCATTGTTAGTTACCGGAAGCTTTTGGAGGTGTTTAAGGTAAAACATACAGTAAATGTCTGTATGTCTCCTGTCTGTGTTAAAAAAATGAAACAAAAGAATAAAAAACATGCAATATATAAATTTATGTTAAACAGTATGGCATCTGCACATAGTTTGATTTAATACATATATAATTCAAGTTTTCATATATATATTAAAACTTAATTGTACTTAAAGAAGAGAGCCTTTCTTGTAGAAAACTTTTTACGAAAAGCTTGGTAGAAAAGGCAAAATATTTTGTTGTTGTTGCCATATCATAATGTTTAATTTGTATTTTGTAATGGAATCAAATGTTTGATTAATGCTGATCTGCTGCTATACTGTTTTTTTGTGTCTTGTAAGCCCATGAGTGTTGGGCACTTTATGTGCATGACACAAAAATAAAATCAAAATGTACTGTAAAATAGTATGTCATCTGTATACAGTTTGATTTGAGTTTAAATTGCTTCAAAATATGTGAACTTTCTGTCAAAAAGCAGGCAATTTGAATACACGTTAAATTTCTGACTGTAAAATATTTTGTCATCAGCATACAGTTTAATGTATATTTTTGGTGATTTGAGCTGCAGCCAACAGTTGATGAAAACTGGAAATAGAGAGGGAATGAGTGGACATCCATGTTGTATAAAATGTTAAATTAATTCAATATTTCCTTTAGAAGTTTTCAAATATGTGAAATTTCTGTTGAGGGAATTAGGTGATTTGAATACGGGACCCTTAAGTGCTACTCTGAAAACAGTTAAAGTGAAATATTCATTGCGGCTGTCTGCGCTAAGTGTTAGTGCTGCGTTTGTGTTCACCATGAACTAAATTACAATAATCAGATTCTTTTAACAGTACAGCGACTGTCAGTGTGCTTGACAGAGAGGAGAAAGAGGGAAGAGGGAAGAGGACAGAAGAAAAGAGATCCAGTAACATTTCCACTCATAGCTCAGCAGTTCATCTGCACTGAGAAGTCTCTTTGGATGCTGCTTGAGGAAGAATCGTCCCGTTTAAACCAGCTGACGGCAGCTGACTACTGACCTCCGACCCACAGTGTGAGACACAGATCTGAGTGAAATCCAATCTGTTAATGTCTTTAACATCCAGCTGTCCATGTTTGAGTAAATATGAACTGAAGCTGGTTTGATGGAAGCAATAAAAAGATCAGAGGACAGAAACATACTGGTGTTCTTTTAGCACATTAACTACAAATCCTGTTTACCTCTAAATCCCACCTTAATTTTATATTCTCAGTCTCAGTTTGAGCTCATTAAGAAACAGTATGTCTTTTTGTACCGATTTATTTTGATTATATTATTTCAATGCATTTATATTTTTTACATTTGTTGACCAAGTGAATTAAACACAAATGTAAAGTTATTAGTCATTTTAATTTGATTTGATATTTTTACCTTTAAATTAAGTAAAAGCTAAATTGAAAGCAAAGTTCTGACCCCTTAAATTCACAAGTACTATTAGATATTTTAAAATAAAGTAGTGAGCATGTAGCAGTATATAGTAAATACTTAAGACATGAATACAAGCCAAATTTTGTCTCTTTAATTCTTTTAGATTTTTAGAGTTTTTTTCTCAAAACTATGTCGAATGTATAAGTAAAGTAAAATGAAGTGAATTGAAGTTTTGTCGTAAACAAAAGTTTCTGAAGACTGAAAGTCTGGACATTTTAGTCTCGTCTTAGCCAAAGAAAAATGTTACCATTTCAGTTCAGTATTTTAGTGTTGTGAATATCAGCTTTTTTTCGATTGTTGCAGCATAAATTGCCTAACTTCATGGCAGTTTTTCTAAAACATTGTGATGCATATTGCAATGTTTTTAGGCTTTTTTTGCAATGAAATTTCAGGAGAAAGTGAAAATTGGAAAGAAATTTTAAATAAAACATTTTATTGTTGCATAATTCATTGAAAATCGAAGGCACCTTTTTCCAGTGAGAATAAAATTTCTAGCAGTTTAGTGACATAGCTCAACGTTATGCTCTGATTGGTGAAACTCACAGGAACTACCGTGATTGGTCGGATTTGCAGCAAAGTTGTGGTGATTGGAGAAAATTGCAAAGTAACGCAGAATTTACAGGAATTTGCTGAACTTGTGTTACTTGTAATCACAACTTCCTGCAGGGACTGCTTTTAGTTTAGTTATAGACTAGTTCATTCATTTAATCAATCTTTAGTAAACAGCTTTCCAATAATATGTAATCCATTTGATTTTAAGCTAAAGGGCATGTTTGCTCTCATGTTATTATTTATTTAAGCAATATTTCTTTTGAACCAACAAATTAAAACTATAATTTCTAATATTAAACAGTGTATAAACTCTAGAGCTATGTTCTATATGGAGTTGATCAGTAATTAGAAGCTGTCATACATTGACCGTTTACCATCCACTGTTTAGATCTTGTTGCTTTTTGAGATTTGAACCGGATGAAGGATTTTAGTCATCGGATGTCTGGATACAGGTTCGAAAGAAAACTTTAAAATATTTGTAAAGTTTGTTTCATAGAGGAAGGAAGTTAATCAATCTAAAAAATGTATGGATTATTGGAAAATTGATGAGAATGTGAAGGAGACAGGATTTATAATCAATGGGCTAAAACAGCAGAATGGTCCTTTAAGTGTGCATTTAATGCATGTTGAGAGCTGTTTTTTAACCACCTGTTCTGTTTCTACCAACACTTTGTCTGTCAGGCTCTTCACTGAGTCACCTCTCTCTTCCATCCATCCAGTTTCTCTTCGTTCCTTCCTCGTCCTCCCATAAACTCCCTCCAATGTCTGTCAGTTAAAACCTCCCCCTTCCTCCAGCTACCACATGTAAGTCTTTGTGGTGTCGATCTGACTCCCCCCTGCCTCCTCCGCCCTCCCTCCCACCTCCCTCTCTTCCTCCTCCTTGTCATCTTTGTCCTTCTCGGCCTCGCTGTCCCACAGCGTGATGAGTGGCGGGTACAGCTCGTTCAGGGGGATGGACGTGGCGTGCTGTATGTACTTCTTCAGCGAGTGGCCGCAGGACTTGTGCTGCTGCACGCGGCGGCCCATGTAGACAACCAGCAGCGCCATGATGGACAGAGCGAACATGGAGCCCATGACGGCCGCCAGGGCCACGCTGCTGCGCCGCGACACCACCATCTCCACCGAGAACCCCGCCTCTTTCGTGGTGACATTCAAACAGGAGGTGTGGACAGGAGAGGAGGGGGAAGAGGAGGGAGAGATGGGGGTGGGGGAGGAGCTGGGAGAGGAAGAGGGGGAGGTGAGGGAGGGAGGAGAGGAGGAGACAGTGAGGCAGACGTGGTACTCCGTGGCAGGAAGGAGGTGAGTCAGATTATACTCCTGAACATCAACAGGAACCTGCGAGGAGAGGGGGTGGAGATAAGTTACCATAGTTACAGAGTCATGACATCACTTCCTGTCTACCAGCTGTTATTACAGACAGTGAACTAACCACAGACACTGAACTGTCCCACTGTTATTACAAGATCAGTGAACTCACCACGAGACCACTGTCCCACTGTTATGTACAGACAGTGAACTAACCATCAGACACTGAACTGTTCCCACTGATATTACAGACATGTGAACTTCCACCACAGACACTGTCCCACTGTTATTACAGGACGTGAAACTCACCACAGGGAACTTGAACTGTCCCACTGTTATTACAGACAGTAACTAACCACAGACATGTTCCCAACTGTGAATTACAAGACAGTAAACTAACCACCAGACCAACTGTCCCATCTGTGAGTTACAGGGACAGTGAACCTCACCACAGGAACTGATACTGTTCCCACTGTTATTACAGACAGTTGAAATAACCACAGACACTAGTCCCACTGTATATTACAGACAGGAACTCATCCACAGACACTGCACTGTCCCACTGGTGACTACAGACCAGTAGACTCACCCAGAGACAGTGAACTCACCACAGACAGGTGTGCTCACCTTTGCGCTGTAGCTGATCTGAGGGGTTGTCGATGTGCACGGTGACTGAGCCAGCGGGGAAGAGGGAGGGGGGAGTCGCCTGCTGGTCAGACCGTCAGACGTACGGGCCCCCCGCTGGGATATAACTTCCCTCCAGCACCACCGACTGGGCGTGAACCAGCTGCACAAGGTAACAGGAAAAACAGGAAAATGTCTCATTACCTCTGAAAACATAACAAACAGATGGATGCAATATAGGAATTCTAATCGATATTATTATATTATTTTACCTTCGCCAGGACACCACCAGAGAGGCTGCAGGCGAGACCAATACCCAGCCATGGGCTTGCTCTCTGCTGGTCACCGCGTCCCACCGGTTCCCCACCGGACCACCAGCCCATCAGCCCTCTGGGAGTCACAAAACACCGATGACACTCTTCGTGGTCCGCGCTTCCATGTTTCCCGCCACACAGGTATACCGCCCCCAAAAACCACCTGAGAAGACAGACAGACAGAGAGGAGAGAGACAGACAGACAGAACAGAGAGAGAGACAGAGAGACAGACAAGAGAGACAGAGAGAGAGACAGAGAGACAGACAGACAGACAGACAGAGAGACAGAGAGAGAGAGAGAGAAAAACAGACAGAGAGACAAGAGAGACAGAGGAGAGAGAGGAGGAAGAGATCAGAGAGAGGAGGAGAGATGAGAGAGAGACAGACAAGAGAGAAGACAGGACAGAGAGACGAGGAAGACAGACGCGACAGACAGACAGAGAGAGAGAGAGAGGAGACAGACAGAAGAGAGACAGAGAGACAGGACAGAGAGACAGAGAGACAGACAGAGAACAGGAGAGAGACAGACAGACAGACAGAAAAGAGACAAGACGACGACAGACAGAGAGACATAGAGACAGACAGAGAGACAGAGAAGACAGACAGATGAGACAGAGGAGACAGGACACGAGATGAGACAGACGAAAGAGAGACAGACAGAGAGACAGACAGAGAAAGGTTAATATCTGAATGTCCATCAGCCCTCGTGCAGCTGCAGCGCCCCCCGCAGGCCCAGACTGACCAGCATCTGACGGTTCTGCGTGTTCGATCACTAACGCTCCGGGTTCCGACACTCGATGCTTCTTCTTCTTCCTTCTGCTCAGGCCACGCCCCTCCTCTGATATGATTGGTGCAGCCATCGCCTCCGAGCTCACCTGACCAGGAAGGAACAGAACAAACTGATTGTCGGAGTTTCCTTGAACACACCAGCAGCATTTTCGGGAAGCTCTTGAATGCATCACCTCTACGTCTACACTCATGACTCTGCCCACCTTGTCTCCAGTGGGCGTCACCCAGTAGAACTGGGGGGCGGGGTCAGCGTCTGCCCAGCACTCCAGTGTGATTGGCTGCCCGGCACTGACGTTGATGGCGGGGGGGAAGGCGTGAGGAGAGATGTGAGGCAAGCAGCTGTTGGTCCCGCCCCAGCCGCCGTCGGCCGCGCCCCACCCGACCGCCACCACCTCCTGCAGCTCCCGACCAACCAGGTGCGGCGGGGAGGAGCAGAGCGTGACGGAGGACTCCTGCATCTTGAGGTGTGATTGGTTGCCGAGGTGAGGCCCCCAGGAGGAGAGACAGTCACAGCGCAGCGGGTTGGAGTGCAGAGACACCTCCTCCAGGGAGGGGAGGGACGACAGGAGGTCCCCAGAGAGGAGGCTGAGCTGGTTACTGTGGAGGAGGAGAGTCCGCAGGGAGGACAGCTCGCTGAGGGGGGAGGAGGGGAGATTAGACCTCTTCCATCAGACAGACAGACAGGCAGACA